TTAGGAGCGGTCGGAGTGGGCTTCCTAAGGATGCAAGGTTTGGGACAAATTTAATGTATTGGTTTATAGAACCAAAAAATGATCGTAATTCTTTCAGATTCTTCGGTAAAGGTAGGTCTTTGATAGCTTTCGATTTGTCGAATAACGGGGTAATTCCTGATTTAGAGATTTTAAATCCCAACCATTCTATTTCTTTTTGAAAGAATTTACATTTTGACCATTTTACGGCAAAGTTGTATTCGTCGAGGGTCGATAGAATTTTTAATACAATATTCTTGTGGTCTAAGAATGTTCCTTTGGAAGAAATTAAAATGTCGTCCAAGTAACAATTTGTAAATGGGATTGAACCTAACGTAGAGTCCATTACTCTTTGAAATTCGTTGGGCATATCCCCTAAGCCGTAAAAACCAGTTAAAAATTGGTAAGTACCAGTAATGTCACCGCCCACAATACTGAAGTTACATTGGTTACTAGTAAATTTGTCTAATGCTAATTGACTGTATGCATTTTTTAAGTCTAGATTAGTATACCACACTTCTCCAACGGAATCATTAGTAATTTGTGCCGCGACGTTGTCTACAAGTTCATGGATGTTTGGCATTTGATATTTGTTCTTGTAAATCTGTTCGTTTATGAACTTGGAATCTAATGCCAGTTTGATAGATTTGTCTTTTTTGCAAGTGATGACTATTGGGCTAATAAATCTGTCTTCGTCGCAATTTTCTAATTTTTTAATATGTCCCTCTGCTTTTAATCTATTGAGTTCTGTTTTTACCGCATCCAGTAAATGTAGGGGGACACGTCTTCCTTTTAGTTGGATTGGTTTTAATGGTTCGTGAAAATGGGTAATTTTAATTTGATTCTTAATTTTTCCAATCCGAAGGAATAAATTTTTAAATGACTTTGATATATTAAGGATTTCCCTATCTTGGTTTGTTTGGGAAATGGAATTTACTGACTTACACTGCTTGTTGGTCTGGAAGTGTGGAAAATGTTTCTGAGAGACCTCTATTCCCACTTTTGGAAGGTTGTCGTTTCCTAAGATGTTCCTTTCATGTCCCTCGGTTAAGAAGAATTGACAGTCGTTATCTGACCAACCATTTGAGAATATCGGAATCTTCACCTTTCCAGTGATGTTTATGGCATTATCCGTGAATCCACAGTAAAGGTCTCTGGTTGTCTTATCCACCGGATAAATTTTCAAGTATGGATCACGTAATTTCAATTCGTGAAGTACGTTTTTCTTAAGAAAGCTCACTGGGCTAGCTGAATCCACTTGAATGTTTAAAATTACTTGGTTTTCTTTTCCGAGTCCGATGTTTAATAATTTCTTCAGTTCCTTTCCGTCGTTATCAAAAATTGTAGTTATATTTAGTACAGAGTAATCGTCGTTTTCACTTTGTCCAGATTCCGACCATGCGTTTATGACACCGCAACATTCTCTATCCGTGTGGTCGGTATTTACATCCGGGAAATCCGACGGATTAAAATCTGTATTATCTACAATTTGGGTATTTACAATGTTTACATTTTTACGTCGAGATCTACAAAGTCTGGTGAAATGACCTTTGAATTTACAAGAAGTACAAGTTGTGTCCTTTGCTGGGCACACTGCTAAGTGTCCTTTTGAGAATGAACCGCCACAATTCATACAGCTGTTACTTCTTTCGATGTTGAGAGTTGGTTCTCTTTTGACGTTAAAATGGTTGTTTGGTTTATGTACAGATGATCCGTTGGATTTAAAATTATTAGTTAACTTCAAGTGATTTAAAATTCCTTTTTCATCGATAAGTGCTATGTTTAGTGCTTCGCGTGGAGGGAGGGTTTCTGTTAATAATTTCCTTTGTATATCGTAGTTTTTCATATTATTTATGAAAATATCTCTTATCCACTCTTCTTCTCCTGCGGATATGTCGCACTTTTTAGCCATTTCAGCTAAGGCACCCCAAAATTGTTCGAGGGATTCTCTGTCGCGTTGTTTTCTATTTAACAGTTTATGTCGTTCAAATGTGACGTTTGATTTTCTTACGAAAGCAGTCGCTAAAAACTCCCAGAATTGTTTAAAAGAAATTTGTAAGACTTTCACCTTGGTAAATTTCTGTCCGAAGATCCTTTTTCCTTCATTTCCCAATGCCAGATATAAGACTGATCGTAATTTCTTGTCTGCTTCTTCTATTCGCATTCCGTTAAATTTCTTAGTTTCGGTTTTTATCGAAGCTGTTTCTTCTTCGTCATATCTTCTTTGTTCTTGGATATTTCTCTCCAATCTCAAGCGTCTTTGGGCGTCTGTTTCACCGTCCGGTGGGTTTTCTAAATTTGGTGGTAATGGATGTTGTCTCTCCGACGGATTGAGTAGATTTTCTATATCTATGTTTTCTTTAGCTATAATTGCTAATTGAAACAGATCACTCCAATCTTCCCAAGGGATGGGTGGGTCTACCGTATGGTTTTGCCAAAAGGGAGGTATTCCTCTCACGTTAGATTCGTTAGATGACTGCGCCATGATAAAATGTTACTTTGTTGTAGCTAATTCTAAATTAAAACTATTAAAAAGAATAAGAAATAATATGAATTAGTCGGTAAGTTAAAACATTAAAACAATGAGAGATCATTCTCTCCGCCGGAGAGAATGGCTAGTGAAGGTCATAACTAAGTGACCGGTTAATTAAATAAGTATGTTTAGCAATAATTGCAAAACCTGATGTAAAATCACAACAAACCGCTACGTCAAAAGACGTTTTTCTGTTTCAGGCTATTTGTGAAAATTATGCTAACTTTTAAAAACTGTCGGAGGGTGATGAATTTTTGACCTGATACAACTATGTCCTTCGAATTTAAAGCATGTTGGTAATATATTTCGATCAAATTTCAGGGGTAAAAAAAGATTTTGTTAAGTGTTCCCTACCCCAATCTCAAAAAAGAAAAAACTCGTTGCTACATAAAAATTTAGCAATCGCTCAACCATTCATTTTGTTTTTTCTAGGGTTGAAAATGCCACCATAAAGGGGGATAGGCAATAAGATCCAATTAAAACGCCAAGAACAAATGAAATGTGACGAAATGGCAGAAACACTTGAAGACTTAGAGCTTAGAAGCTTTATAACCCGAAACTTCCCAGAACTTAAGTTCTGTCGGAGAGCTGAATCTGAGTAAAATATTGCGCCATTAATTGTTAACTCATGATTATAAAAGTTTGACATTTGGTTGATTTTTTTAAAGGTGAGTTCTGCGTTTTGCCGAATCTGAAGTTTTACAATTTAATACAATTCTAAACTTTTTTATCACGCTTCAATAACACTCGTTGGCTAATTGTTCCGACCATTGAAAACGGGGAGGAACTTACTTTGTAATCGGGTGTGTTAATTTTTTTTTATATTTTCCACGCAAAACCAGATACCACAAGTAATCATTGGAGCAATACCAAATTAAAGCCTTTTCAGTCGTGATTTGAACGATATTAAAAAAATTGGCAAAGAAATTTCCCAGTGAGGAAAAAAACTGGTTTACAATTTTTGATTTTAGGTTAAATTTGATGCCACTAAAGCAATCGAGTAAGATCGTTATATGAAAGCATGCTTGATTTAGACTTTTAGGGTTTAAAACACCTTATTTCCAAAACACGCACTTTTGTATAATTGTTTAAGTGCTTAATTTTCTAGAAAATCGATGAAAGTTTATTGTGCAAAAACTAGAAAAAAAAATCAAAAAAGAAATATTTTTTTATAATTTTTTCATTTTTGAAAGATAAATGCTATCAATTATGTCCAATTCTCTAAATTTCTACGCGTTGTATATTTTTCAAATCACACCAGGCACTAAAAACGACATTAAAAAATCGTTCTTAGTTTTTTCTTCAAATTAATGTCGTAATGTTTTAGTGCCTGCTGTGATTTGAAAACTACACACATCTTGACACTGGCCACTGAGACACATTTTTGAAACTTTTTGAAGTCGTTCGAATCACGACTGAAAAAATTTGTTTTAAAATAATACCCGCCCCAATCCCATGATTATTTGTGATTCCTGATTAAGCATGGAAAAAAAGAAAAAATCTAAAACAGTCAAAGTTAAAAAACCAATCAAGATACAAAAAACTTTTAAAAGAATATTTCTTAGTTTTTTCTTCAAATTAAAGTTTTTTGTATCTTGAATGGTTGTCTAACTTTTGACTGTTTTAGACCTCTTTTCTTTTTTTTTCCCAAGCTTAATCAGGTACTACAAATAATCATGGGATCAAGATAATACCCGCCCCAATCCCATGATTATTTGTGATTCCTGATTAAGCATGGAAAAAAAGAAAAAATCTAAAACAGTCAAAGTTAAAAAACCAATCAAGATACAAAAAACTTTTAAAAGAATATTTCTTAGTTTTTTCTTCAAATTAAAGTTTTTTGTATCTTGAATGGTTGTCTAACTTTTGACTGTTTTAGACCTCTTTTCTTTTTTTTTCCCAAGCTTAATCAGGTACTACAAATAATCATGGGATTGGGGCGGGTAAAATTTTTTATCTAAACCTCTTCAGTCGTGATTTTTTTTAAATTAACTTTAAAAAGTTTTCAAAATTGTGCCTGAGTGTCAAGAAAAACCGATTTGAAATTTTTGGGATTAAGTCAAATAAAGCAATCGAATAACTGGAAATTGTTTATTTAAGCTGCAAAAATTTGACATTAATCGAAGGAAAAATTTTTTTTTGGAAATTTCTGTGGCGCTTCTATGGCAATAAAAGTTTTCCTTAAAAACACATCAATTTTGTGAATCTTTTTTTCATTTTTTCTATTAGTTTTTTGCCTAATTCGCTAAATTTGCGCGTTTATACAGTTCTTTCATCACACACGCACAAAAAAAGACACTTTTTGGTAGTTTTGTATGAATGTGGTCGGAAAAATCTGTGCTACTTGCAAAGCAACAGACTATCCTTGTTTTTCACCTGATTTTGGTTTTTTTTTATCTAAAGTATTGTAGTTAAAAGTCAAAACTGAATTTCAATCTGCATGACTCACCTCTTCCGCCGGGCAAGATCCGAAGGGGAGGTCTCCGAACGAGAGTGCCTGCCAGACTAGCACTCCGAACGCCCAGACGTCGCTGGCCGAAGAGTACTTCCTCGACTGGATCACTTCCGGTGCATACCAGGGAATGAGGAAGTTGTGGATCTAAATCAGAGTCATTGAAGTTTCAGAAATACACATGCAGTTTCAGAAAGCCTACAACTCACTCCACTACTAATGAAACAACCGCAAGTAAAATTGATAATCTGACTCAGTGGCATGGAGCCCAGAAATTTTTCTGGCGGAGGGGCGATTTTCAGAAAAGTTTTGAAAATTTGTCATTCTTATTTTTTTTTGACTGGCCTGACTTTTTGACTGATCTGACTGGCTGCAAAAACTTTGAGGGCTAGAACATTTTTGAGACAGTTTTGCCAAATGCATACCGTTATAACTCTTTTGAAAATCCTTAATTTTTATAGGTTTTGACTTTTTTATTCAAATAATTTAAATTTTTTGTATCATACTATTGTTCCAATTTTGTCACCGATGCTTCGAAATTTATGTAAGCTTGAAATTCCGGATAATATTGTTTTAGACTATCATAGACACAACCCCCCTCCCTTTGTTCACCCTTACATCTCCGAAGATGGAAATGGTAGATTATACTGCCAATCCATACCTTCAGCCTATGATCCATAACCTCATAACCTTATATGGTTTTTGTTTCTGTAACAGTTAACCATCCTAAAAGTTATAAAATTGTGAAACCGTCTTTTCTTACAGGGGGTGTGTTTTGTGCGGAAAGCGGCCTGCAAGTAGAAAACGCCGTATTCACACTCGTCAGTAAGTAGACATAAGCACTATTTTAACCAATCAGAATCGAGATAAGAAAAAAGAACGTATGAAAACATTAACTATTCAAGATTCTTGCGTACGCTCCCATTTCTTATCTCGATTCTGATTGGTTAATATATCATTCGTCTGCCTACTGACGAATTTGAATATGCGGATTTGAATTTTCCAATACCTCCGATGAGACTAGGGGTGCTTTGCTGTTGGTAGTGTTCTCTTCCTCCAGAAGAGCCCTGAGGTCGAAACCTCCGATCTTGAACACCAGGTGGTCCCCCATATACACTGTGCGACTGGTCAGCACCTGAAAAACAAGCAAAAATTATAATTAATGCTAAAAAGCGTTGGCTGAATCTTTTTCGGTCAACAAAACAACAAATCTGAAGGAAATTAATCAAACTAAAAATGCTGATTTTGACGTCAGAAGTCACTACTAACTTATTTTATCATATGAAAACTCGGTCTTATAAATTCTAATTAGTCTAAAAAACACCCGTTTTCTTAATACTTTATTGCCCAGGGTCAGCGATAATGCTTTCATTTAAGAAATAACAATAGATCAGCTAAAAAATTAGACTACTGTTAAATTTTAATTTCAGATTGAGCCGAGACCAAAATCTAGCGTGAACGAAAAAGTTTATATCGGAGAAAACCAAACGGACCTTGTGAACATATCCCATGTCGGACAAGTATCGCATTCCAGCTGATATTCCTCGCAAAATGTGGACCACGTGTAAGGGCGAGAAGTTTGAAGTCGGAGTTTGCAGCACTTTTTCCAAGGTCACTCTTTGAGGACATTCAGTCACCATCGTCCACTCAGTTGCTGAAAAAAAACATTTAAGATAAAAATACATTTTCGGCCTGGTCTGAGCGGGATTAAAACCGGGGTCCGTTGAAATTAAAACTCACGAGAGAAAACCATTCCATGAAGCAATAAAACATGTGGATGATTGAATTGCGCCATTGTAGAAGCTTCAACTGCAATTTTGTGTTGTGAAAAACCTCCAGCGGCTGAAAATTCGTGAGTAATTGTTTTGAGCGAAACATCCACAGGCTGTTGGTTCGGCACGCAGAATTTTCCACACCACAGACTCTCATCTCCCACTGAAAAAAAGTCAAAGCAACTCACATTAAACAATCTAGAAGATTCTAGAAAAAGAATTTTGAGGTTTGATAACTTACGAGCTGCGATTTGAGATTCAACAGCAATCCAATTTTCAGGAATTTCTTTTACAAATTCAGCAAACATCAGTTCCGGCTCTCCGTAAAAATTGGGCTCGACAAACGCTTGTCCGATTGGAATTTTACCCGAAAGCGTCCCATCTGAAACAAATTTTCCAGTAAGAAATATATTGGCAAATTTTATCATTATAAGGATTTGAATCTTGAAATCTATCTTCCTTAATTTTCGTAATTATTTTCTAAACTCACGGCGCGTTTTTAGTTTTTTTTTGCACTGCTAAAATTTGCAAAAAATGTATGCGTTTGAATCAACTTTTACCGGTCATCAAAGCAGATCCTTGTTTCAAAAAAAGCGAAAATTCGATTAAAATTGTTCGATTAATTTAATTTTGCTGCCGATTGATCTGCATTAGAAATCAATTTGTTTTTCCGTGGCAAGCAAAAAGTCCATTAGGTGTTTACCTTATGCGAATTACAATACAGATTTCTCCGGATTATAAAAGCAATTGCAATAGGGCGGGAAAGGGGCGGTTGAAAAAAAAGGCGGAGGGAACCTGGTTAATTTCAACTTCAATTTGTTTCAAAATTCAATCACCCAGACCCGATTTTAAACTCCCTTAGGTTCGCAAGGGGAGAGAAAAATTGCAAGAAAAGGACAATACAAAAGCCTGTTAACAATCAGCGTTGTTGGGAGGTGTTAAGAGATCTAATTTGAGGGTGAAAAAGAGTGTTCGTGAAAATTAAGAGGGGGTCGATTATAATTTCCTCAAAAGTAAGCTAAGAATCAATCCAAACTTTGTATATTTCATCCCGAGACAAAATTATGAGTAATATGAAGAAAATGTTAATTCATAATCTTGACGACAACATTTTTCGAACTAGGTTTGACAGATTTTTTCATTAAGAAGCTAATTTATTCTGTTTTATTCATTTGCAATTTTCAGGAAAAAAGGAATGAATTCTGGCAGAAGTCGAAAATTATAATCTGCCAACTATTGTCCAGAATTTTAATTTCTTCCTTTTTAAATTTCGGCATCATAATATCATTTTTGGTCAAATTACTCATTTTTACCAGAAGAAATATTGACGAGATGCCAGTTTTTCTCTTACATATTTCTGTTAAAACTAAAATATCCAGTTTAAAATCCTGAAGAATAATTTCTGAGCTAATTCAACTACTGCCAACCTTTACTTTTTCAACAGACAATTTTTTCAAAAAAAAAATATCAGTCTTTTTTTTCAAACCCAATTGGAATATTTTCTAACCCCGAAGGCGCCTTCGAAATTTTTTTCTAAGAACTATTCAGCACCAAGTTACACTAAAAGAGAAATTAGCGTCGAAAAAATATGTTATTTTTTGGTTATGGGCCAAAAAATAGAGCTCAAAAACACTTTAATTTCTGATGAGACATTTTGTCTTGCATCTATATTTGACTATGAGGGCAAAAAGAGATTCGGAAGGTACTAGTCCACTAAATTGATGCCTGTGTGCGTCCGAGTGTTGCATTACACTGGCGCGGAAATAAGATTCCTTTCAAATCTAAACTAATTATCGAGATCGATTGACTAAGGCGCTTTACTCCCCAAATTTCATTAGGCTCTGTTTCTAATCCCAAATTTGATTAGTGATCTCTCTCCCTCGTTTTAGATTGGTTCCCCCTGATATAAAACCCCGAATGAAAAAACCCTCTTCCCTCTGTGATCAAATATGTGCTAACAAGTACATACGTTACAATAACATCACAACAAAAAAAATTATTTAATCGCAAATTCGCATTTTTTCTAGTCCACAGCACTGGTATTGATCTCGACGGAAAATTATGTAAGCTTAATTCAACCCTTGCAAGTATTTTGGAACCACAAAGCGGACAAAATGTGATAAATTATGGATTTTAGACTACAAAAGACTATTCTTGTTTTGTAGTTTCAATGCGTTTGTAGCTTTATTCAATTAAACTGATGCATTTTGAGCATATTTTTGAAAAATGCAAAACTTTTTGATATAACTCACCAAAGCAATAAAAAATGACACGCTTGGGGCTCGAACCGCGGAACTTAGATTGGTACAAAAAAAGTAAGAACTTACACGGATAATTTATTTGAGCGTTCGGACTGAGCGAATTGCACTGTACGAAATGGCTCTGTTGTTCCATGAAAGAAGCACCAACATGATGTTTTCTATACAAACAGGCCATACCCAGACATAAAATGAGAATGAGGACACTAATGGTGGCCACGATGGCCATGACGGCCACTAGTTGCTTCATGTCCAGTTTCGCAATCTGCAAGTGTCCAGTTACTTGGCCCGAAACAGAGGGGCTAAAAGATCCCTTGGTTCCGTCGGGATACTGTGCCGCGACTCGAAATGTATAATGACCCTCCTCAATTCCTAGAAAAAAATATATAATCAAATTCGTTTTCTCTTAAACTTTTTTTAACTGGCTACCTTGTAATTAATTTACTCATCGAATAGTATCATTGATTTTTGCTTTTATGAAAACTTATCAAACTTAAACTTAAAAAGCAGTTTTTTCCAAAATAGCAAAAAAGTCAAACATAAAATTTAAGGCATTCAGGTGACCTATGTTTATGTGATCAGTCGTAATCTTCAAAGAACCAATAGAAATAAAAACTCGTTTTAATAAATTATTCAAATTACTCAAAACTAGACAAGTCTCAACATGGTCAGCTTTATCTAGGTAGTCATTTAGACAAATACCAAAAACTATTTAGGTCATTAAATATTAAATTATTACTGAGCGATCATAAAAATTAGTTTGTAATGAATCATTCGACTAAATTTAAAATCTTCCAGCTGAAAGTGGCTTTTCATCATTTTGAGTTCAAAAAGTAAAAACTTGAACCCTGTTCATTGAAGATTTTTTTTTTCACGAAAGCAGCAAAAAATTAAACCCGAAACGGAAGTTGTTTCGGGGAAATCAAATATTTTAAAGAGACAATCCAAAAAACTGAATGCTTTGCTGAATGGAGACGCATTTCCGGTTTATATTGTTTATATGAATTGGTGAATTTTTGTCACCCAAATAAGAAAAAAAGATAGCTTTACTTCAAATGAAACTTGATAACCGATTTTTCAATTCTCCTGGATATTTCAGCTCGTTAACGGGTTAAATTCCTCTCATTTTTTTGTTTAAAATAAACAATGCACTTATGACTAAAAATCTGACGACAAAGGCCTTAATGAAAAGTACTTTTATTACAAATAGCTTTATTTTTTGTTCTCGCTTACAAATCGAGCCCAATTTATAATGAAGGAGGGTTCATTAGAGCAAGTGTTATTTGTATTTGAGATATCATTTGAGAGCTTTTGAAACCGAAATGTACGTAAGGCTGCTTTAAAGGAAAACGATTTCATCTTCAAATGTTTTAACTGAAAATTTAGAACTAAAATTGCAAAAAAAATATACACAGATAAGGCAAAATAAATTTCAAATGAAGTTTTTGTGAAAAAAATACCATTTTAAAAAATAAAACGTTGGTTTTCAGGTAAAAAACAACAACAAAAGATTTTGATAGATCTTTCCGCCATGCAAAAAAAACACTGCTATAAAATCGTTCAAATTCCAAAGATGGCTTATCTCAACGATATTGTAAATGGGGAAAATCTGAGCTAAGATTAAGGGTTTAAATGTGCATTGATTACGGTTACAAAATTTATCCTAGTAACGTTCAGTTGGCAGTAAAAAATAATCCCCGCCCGTGGAAATTAACAGCTATTCAATTTAAAAATCGATTCCCTTAATTTAAGCGCTAAGACAACCCCGTGATATTTTAACTCAAGTGGAGAAATTTCACAAAAAGGTAGCTGAGAGCTTCTTAAATTGAGGGTGAAATTGAAACGCTTTTGAGGTAAATTGGCTTTTTTACGGACGGGGTAAAATATTTTTCAAGTTTAAGCCCCAGATTAAAATGACTGCCGTCAATTCGATTTCATCGTCTGACTTGAAGCCACTTCAAATTATAAGTAATCTTGATTGCCACTTCGGCTTATATTCTTAATTATCAAAATTGGTTCGTCGCGTAAGGTAAGGTTGGCCTAGAGTATGGTATAAACACATAAGCCCAGACAGTTCAGGTTATCTGGGAGCGCAATATCGTATAGCTATTTCAACGCATGTAGAAAACATTCATTGCAAAACTGCAAAAAATTGCTATGACAAGCATCTAGATACGAATAAAAACACAGAGAGGACACTAAATTTTTTTGAAAACAGATGGTTGAGAGCTTTTGCAATTTCCATAAGCAGAAGTCAAATTGAGAAGCCGCGAGGAAAATTTAGTGATTTGCGAGAGCTCAGAAAACCAATTAATTCAAATGTTCTTTAGTTGGAAGTAATTTAAACCAATCAGATTTGAACATTAGAATCCAGTTGTCAAAGTTTGAAAAACATCAGTTTTGGGGCATTTTAACAGAAAAGAACCGCCTTTGATCACCGCATAGAAAAGAGCGTCGCTCAATAAAAAAACTCAGTCTGGAATGAGGGGAAATAAGAGAAACGGACTATGCTTAGACAGGCTGCAAAGCCTTACATAGATCCTCTGGGAATCGCAGAAACGCCGATTCTAAATAGCTTCAAAATTGCCGACCTGATCGGAAGAATTTGGTGCCATTCACACAGTGAGTCATCACAGACTGTCGGGGGTTCCCGACACTGTTCATCTCCACACAGTAGGACTGTCCCGAGAAGTCAGAGGGGGGATCCCAAGAGAGAGCTATCGAGTTCGAATCCGTGAGGGACGCCAGAATACGCAAGTTAGTCGGGAACACTGGAAACAAAATAGGTTAAAGTTATAAACCCAAGTATAAACCCACGTTTAACGAAATACATATTTCTCAAATTTTCTTTAAGTTCTATCCTTAAAAAAATGTTAGTAGTTAAATCGAACATTGTTGAAATTCGAACAATCGAACAACCGTTTATTTTAAGTAGTTGCAAGGAAAAAAGACAATGACGTGAACAATATACTCGTTTTTTTTTTTTGCTCAGTTGAGCTTAAAAAGTTTAACATTTTTGCGACGTGACTGTGATTTAAAAAACTTTTAACCTTCTTCCGTTGTTTCGATCATCAACTCTTTGAAGCTGATGTCATGAAAGTAGGGCGACACTGAATTGAGCGCGAAGACTCTAAATGTGTACTGAGTATTAGGCATTAAGTTGGCAATTGTGAAGTTAGTTTTGACAGTCGTGTATTCCCTAGGCGGATAGCACTCTTGACAGTGAATTGTGTACTTGAGGTCCGACCTGCCCCCGTCGGCCCAAGGACGCTGCCACGAGAGACGAGCAAAACTCGAGCCGATAGATTGCGCTTTGAGGTCCCTGAAAAAATGTCAAGCCTATATTGAAAATATGGTGCTAGGACAAAAGATACCGTACCAAAAGATCCCATGCTAATTAAGAAGATCCCATGAATTATGAACAAAAGACTACGAATTATGAACAAAAAACCATGAATTATGAACAAAAAACCATGAATTATGAACAAAAGACTATGATTTATGAACAAATTACTATGATTTATAAAAATAACTACGATCAAATTGTAATCAAGTGTCAAATAACAGAAAATACATCTCAAAATTTTCAGAGCTTCCCCAAAACACTTAGAAGATTGCTTTTTTTCAGAATCATTTGTTATCTCAGACAGGTGTTTGGATCGACAAAATACATCGATGAAAAATTCGACAAACTAACTCGCTTTATTCGTTCTATCAGAGAGGAACGGCCTATTAGCATGTGTGCCTATTAGCATGTGTGCCCTTTAGCATGTGTGCCTATTAGCATGCGTGTGTAGGAAATGGCAGTGGACTCGCTCGTAATTTCAAGATTTGCTTACTGAAACTTAGACTTACATGCTTATAGCTACGCCCCCATATCAGACAGATGTAAGAACCGGCAAATTTAATTATAATGAGTAATATAACATTTGGTGCAAAGATCGAAAAAATTGAGTTTTGAATTGTAATATAAAGGTGAGTATAAATAACCCACCTTGGCTCTGAGGGGGTGGTCGCACACCCGACTGAGGGGGGCACATTGTCCTCTTTGTGGAAGTTGGATCTACAGCCACACTCGGCCTGTCCCCCCTCGGAGACACTGTTGAGGGGGCACTGCACGCAGGGAGAGTTGTCATAAGTGGACTTGTAGTGATCCACGGGACAAGCTGGAATACAATTGAAATTTTAAAGGCATGTTAAAATCTGCAGACTTATCATCTCATTCATTTTTAAAAATATATTTTTTAAAAAAGCACAACAAAATTTTTGAAAACTTTGGAAATTTTGTTTGAAAGTTTTCGAAAAATTATCACAAAACAGATTTTATTTCTTTAGTGATAGCTGAGATCGGAACATTTTGTGCTACTTGCATTGCAACAGGCTGCTATTGGTAAGACATAACCAATAATTATAACATATGGTACAAAAAGTAGATGAAAGCTTTTTTCATGCACAACAATAATATTTAAAAAATGAATCCATAATGATGACGATTATCATGATGATAAAGAATACATGATAACGTTTAGCATTTAATAAGGATCATCAACAGTTTATTTTTAATTTTTAAAACAAAATTACAGAAATAGACCAAATTTGTTCCGATTTTCAAAGACAATATTCCGGATTATTTATATCGAAGCTGCTGTTTAGAAGACTTTATAGTCATCATAAATAAAGAAATTATACCTGTTTCATTTTTAAAATATACCAAACTATATGAGCAAAAAAAGCAGTCGGACGCTTTTCAAGTAGCACAAAATGTTTCGACCACTTTTATCATTGGGACAAAAAAATGAAAAATGAAAAAAAAACGGACGCTTTTTAAATTTTAAATTCAACTTCTGTAGCTTTGTTTCCTTAGAGAAAACTTTTTTTTGCAATTTTTTGGTGCACTTATATAATATAGTTGACCTAATTATGCAAAAAAAATTAATGCAAAAAAAACTCAATTAAATATTTGGTAATTTAAATCCAAATTATCGAAAAACGAGCCGCGAGTGATATTGATTAAATTGCTGATGATTTCATATTAAAAGATAATTTATCATTTGATTGACAGCGAACGACCAGAAAAAAAAATGTTGGTCATCAAAAAACAAATAAATGAGCTCATAATGCTCCCAGCGACCATAATTGAGTTGTAATGGTACCTTCATTAAAATGTACCTCTTTTTAGATGGGGATTTGTTTAGAAAAACAACATTTCGGATTATGCTTTCAAACAAAATTCCCAAGTTTGAAAAATGTGTGTAGAACAAGACACTTTGACAAGGTTGATAAAAATATTCGTTTTCTTGATTACAGACGCTTAGTAAGCTTATCATCTCAATTTTTTTTCCAGAAGTTTTCAATTTTTAAATTTTTTTTTCAAATATTTTTCACTTTTGAAGAACATTCAGCAAGTTCAAGACATTAACATTAAATTTCTGACATAAATCTTATTAAATCTTCAGATTTTTGACTTAACACAAGGGATTAAAATTATGCTTGAAGTAGGACTTAGACTGAAAATAGTTTATTTTTTCCAATAATTAACTCAAAAATGTGATAAATAATACAAAGATAAGAAACGTACCATTGCATTGAGTGAACTCTTCGTTGGGTTCAAAGCCCGGAAGACACTTGCAGAGGGAGAAAGTATCTTGCCACGACCCAAAAGAAGTGCACACTCTAGAAGACCCAGAGGTTAGTGACCCCGCCCTGACCTGCTCGTCTTGTGCATTTTGAACACACTCGCCCAGTACCTGCAATTGAAAACAGAAAATTCCGACCAAATTAACGAAAAACTAAAAAAAACGTGCTGTTTGTGCTGTTTTTTGTTCGTGGTGTGATGAAAAGATCTGAACAAAAGCCGAAATCAGAGAACATATACTTAGACATAATCAATATTCATACTAAATTGGGCATAATTGACAACAATTTTTTCCAAAAAAAATTATATGAAAACAAAAAAATGAAAAAAAATTGAAAAAAAAAATACTTTTTCAATTAATTTGCAGGATTTTTTTTTGAATTAATCAATTTTCAAAAACCCTTAATTTTTTATAAGTTAGAACATACATCGATGTTTGTCCTTTCGAATGGCGCAATTGTTTTTCGAAACAGCGCCAAGTCGACCACCTCTTCTTTGCAGACATACGCGAATATTTGAATTGACCCCACTTTCAGACACAAATCATCGTCGTAGATGGTAATCTGGAAAAAACTTCCTTCTAAGGAAGGCAATTCACTGGTTTGAGGCCGAAAATAGTCCTCTTCTTTTTCCATCTGATGACGTTGTGAGATTCGGATTTCGTAATCGATCATTATGGGTTCGTCATTGACAGATTGTTTCGTCTCGATTTTCAATTTCAAGTACCTTCCGTTGCAATTCGATTCCGGGTCTCTTCGGTTTTCGCACCAAGTCGTGTACCTTAAACATTGAGATACTTAATTTACGAAAAATGTTAATATTATACTAGTTAATTTATAATAACTAGTAATAATCAATGGTTATAATAACTAGTAATAATTCATGGATGTACAAGTAGCAAAGAAAAACTTCAGGCCCTTGACGAGAAACCCGTAATTAATATACCCGAAAAAACTCCTCCTAAATTATTTTCATTTATTTTGTTTATAATCTTTAGTTCTTATAAATATGTTGAGACTTTCATTGAAAAAGGTGTTTACAAGTTTTATTGGTTTTCTAAAAAGGCCCAAGAACATAAAACGCTTATAAAATTACTTCGCTCCTTGTTTATGAATTGTTGTTTGCGGCTTAGAGTCATAAAAAGTGTTAAATTTTTCAAACAGTCCGGTTGGTTTTGGAGTAAAAAGAAAAAAATTGACAGGTCAAACTAATCAATCAAGAAAGAACATTAAATCTTTTTGTTTTAATTTTTTTTTGTCACGGTTGAAAAATTGAAAGTTCACATCAATTGCATTTGATCAGAGATTTGCAATTATTTTTTCACCTTCTTAAAAGTACAAATCGGATTGAAATCGAGATTAGAGGATATTAATGTCTAATTTGTCATACTAAAATGCTTATTGTACATCTTGCTAGTCTGCAAGCAATTGCAGGTATTTTTTACAGTAAATCAGAATTTGGTTCATTTTTTTTTGCTTAAAATAAAGCAGATAAGTCTTTTTTTTTAACCATTTTACGGTGTTTTTGCAGCAAGCGGAGTTCATTTTTACTGTGAAAAAGCCTGATATTTTTTTGAGATCATTCCACGGCTATTTTTCAAACCAAAAATTTTTTAACAAAAGGATCGTTTTTTCAAACGTTCAGTGAAGTTTAAGTTTTGGATGAACAAAAATATCAAAACAGAAATCTGGCAGACAAAAAATCATAAATAAGGGAAAAATAATAAACTTCTATATTTTCATCTTTTTTACCTTTTTTTCCAATCTAAACTTAAATTTAGAGAAATCATCGTGATTATAAATTAAGGTTTTTCAATTAATTACATAATTTTTCATTCTTGATTTTAAAATAATAATCTTGATTGAATAAATGCGTTATTTTATATTGATTTTAAAATCATAATCTCGGATGAATTTATTCCTTTTTTTTAAATTTTAAGTAGTCTCTTACTCTAGTCTGAGTTTTGGCTTGATCGTCTCCCCTGGAGATGAAAGGGTGGATATCCAGCCAGTGCTCAACTCGCTGTGATGACCTTTGACCCCCACGTCACATGACCTCCAGTAAGGTTGACTATCAGAAGGGGAGGAAGGCAGAACCCACTCCCACTGAAAAAAAATCAAACGGTGAATCAGAGGGAATTTTTTTTCCTTAACTGGCGTTTAAACTTTTATAAAGATTTGGTAAATAATTGATGTCGAAAAATTAGAAACGGTTGTATCTTAAAAAGATACCAGTTCACGAAATAGACTAATCAATCATTTAAGAGTAAGAAAATAACATTAAATGATGGGTCACATCTTAAACTATTTGTCCAATCTTGAAAAAAGTGAGCGTCAAAAAATTATTATTTCAAGAGTTTCAAGAAATTTGACAATCATCGAAACAAAAAGGAAAAAGCAATGAAATCATTATATTGAAAAAAAAATAGTTAAATTTCTACAGAAAGTTACCTGCATAAATGTTTCAGGCTAATTTATATTGCAAAACGAATCCGAAAAATCGGCAGATTCTATCTTTCTTAGCGCAACTTGCCATTTAAAAAAGCAAACAAGACTTCAGCAATTTGTTCATCATCAAAAATATCATTTTTTAAATAGTTGTCAGGATAAATTCCTAAGAAGGTATTCATCTGAAGAAAACTTTCTTTTTATCGCACCTAGTTAGAGAATGTAATTAGCCTGCTCAAATGAGCTAAGTTGTCAATTAGAAAGAAAAATAACAGAATAGCTGTAAGTCATAATTTGACAGCTTGTAAAAAACCTTTTCAAATGACAACGTTAATTGACTCTAGTTCAATTTAACTGCTATCGCAGAAAATGAAGTCTGGGATTTTCATTTGTAAGTTTTTGAATATGGGATAATATAAAATCTTCAATTCAAACCTGAAATCTTGTTAACTATTCCTCCACCACCCCCCCCCCCTCTCAATAGCAATAGGGGGAGGGGGGAATAGTTATCAAGATACAAACGTCGTATACGCTTGTTTGTTCAATTCCTTCTTTATAGAGGAGCAGATTCGTTACAAGGTACGATAGGGAGGTGGGGGGGGGGGGGAGAGATAGATAACAAGATCCCAAATCTGTTCTATTAATTCGAATGTCTCTTTCAGTTTTAAATTTGAGAACCTTTTACAGCATTTTGAATTTGAAATAGCAAATAAAAATTGAAATCAAATTTCAAAAAGTTTCAATGTTTAGATACTAGTTAGAAAAATTTTTCTCGACCCTTTTTTTTTAGCTCTCAGTCATTTTTTTGCCCTCTTCAAACCACTCCCCTCCTCCCTCCCTTCGTAAATTACTGGACTGATAAAAAAAGCAGCCATGAAGACCCACCCCGTGCTTTGCTTTTCCGACTGTGCTTTTTGACGATAGCTGTTCCAGTTGCTGCCTGGTCGTGAAGTTGGCATAGTAGCTGTAATCTAAACACACATTAATTGATTAGAAGCACAGAAAATTAATAAATTTAATCAGAAACTTAAAAATTAATAAAAAATCCAAGTCACATTTGCTTGCTTTGCGGTATTTTACCAGCAAACAAAACACTCGTGCGTTACTGGTTTCAATTTAAGGTCATCCTTCTTCTGAATTTCAACTGAACAAAAAGTCTTTGATTTTTCTGCCGTCCTATTCTTAGTTTGAAACATGAGTAACACAATTAATTCATTTTATAGAAAAACAAACAGTCGCCTAAGCTTCACCAAAAAATTAAAAAATAATAAATTAGATGTGACGTTTTATAATAAAGATAAAACAAAATGTCTGAGCCATTTTTAGCTCCTTCTGTCTGAAAAAAATATATACATTTTTTTGATAAAAATTACCAAAAATGGCGCTTTAAAATTACCAAAAATGGAGCTGAAGTTTGAAATAGCATTGTAAAATATGCCAAGTTTAGCTCATAAAAAGGTGAAAACGCCCAAAGGTGGTTCAAATTTTTGTCTTTCAATTAATTCTTGAAAAGCCGTGAAGACCTCCTTAACAGTTTTGAACAGCTTAACAAATGGTGCTCACATTTTTGAAAAAAAAAACGGCAATTCAAACTCATTTCTATTGAAAACTTAAAATCACAACAAAACGTTTTGCTTACAATTACATCTCAATGATAAAATGATCATTTTACTGCTGAATTTCATCTAAGCAGACTGTATCGTTTTCATTTTTTGAAAAACATAAGTGATAAGTAATTATAACATTTATTTTGAAGAGTTTCACGGCTCTAGCAAAGAATGATTGATTGCTGGTGCATACAAATCAATTTGGTAGTAAGTTTAGTAACGTTGCTTGATTTGCTGTCATATATCTGGCTTATGAAGCTAGTGCGAGCTATACAAATTCATCGATGAAGATTGATAGACCACCTGTGATGAATCGCAGCATTTGTTTCCGCAATGCGCTAATTCATCTCAGTTGGAGTTCACAAATGAATTCTGAATTGTTGCTTAAAACGGTAAAAGCTACTTAATTGCAGCCGGCAACATGTTTGGACCACAACAGAGTCAGCAATCGTATTTCAAAACTTTCTCCTCGAAAAAACGTCCCTGGAAAAATCAGTTTAGCCGCATTTAGAACTCAAAAAATTTTTAGAAAAAAAAACATATCCGATGGAAGCGTGATTTTTAAATTTATTTCTGTCGGTATTCAAAAAATTTGTAAGAAAAGGATTTGTGAGTGCAAAGCAAGGCAGCTAATGACGTTTTTGATATCTTGAAAATTATACAGTTTAGGCTTCTCTGAACTTTATTCTTCGGTAAAAAAATTGACAGTGTTGCCGAAAACAATTCAAATAAACGTCTTTTTTGCCAGTTGGTAATAAATCCAATATTTTTGTCGGCAAATTGCATCAAAATGTGGACAAAAAAAAACGTTTCAATTTGATAAAAGCGCAGTGGTGTTTAAGGAATGCCAGGCTTACTGTTAAATGATTTCCACCAAAGTTTTATGGTTTTTTTTGAGCTGACACATTGTTTTAAACCTCACTTCAAAAATTTCTAAAAATTTTAGGACAATATTTTTAGCGCAGTACATTTTGGCTTGAAAAGGACATCGACATTCTTATTATTTCTCGTCATATTCTGATGGACACTTTTCAAGATTTGGTTTGATAAGCGTGGTGGTGCTTGAGGCGAATTAATTTAAACAATCAGTTCGATTGAATCTGCTTTAAGTGCCCTAAAATTTACCTGTTAAAGACACATTTCACTGCCTTTATCTTTAAGTGTGCATTAGACACATTAGCCCGCGATAAAAAAGACCCAACGCGCTGGTCCAAATTTCAACCACTCTTTGAGCGTGAACAAAAATAATGTTCAGATACGCCACATAATACGTCGCATTTCACTATTTAGTATCAAAAAATAATCACAAGTAACCTTTTGACAAAGATCATTTTACAAAAATTCAGAATAAAAAACAGAAAGGAATGTTCCTTTTTCCTCAAATATGCAGCACAAATTGTTGCATTTGAATTCATTGGAAAAAAAATTGTTAGATATAATCAAAAATTAGACTGAAAAGGGTTTGAAAAAGAATTTATTTTCTTAAACCAAACCCTGGCAGCGGTTTTTGTTGTAACTTTACAGCTGGCGGTGTTTAAATGTATATATACCTGATAGAAATAGAAAAAACCTGAGCTGCTGAGCTTTTTTTTCTCTTTTCAATTCAATGTTACCCTATATGTGGTACAAGTAGGTTATATTTGCAGAAGAAATGAATAAATTAGGAGTGGCATTAATAGTCATTTCACGCCCAATTTGCAGCGATTCTGAAATTTGAAAGCGCTCGAGATTTGTAATTTTTGGTGAAAAGGGGAAGCCTCGAGGATTTCCAACGCTTTTTAGACTGATTGTTTCCTGTTTTGAGGAGACTGAATCGAAACGAAACGTCCAATAACTGCCCAAACACGGAAAAGGGTTGAGAAAAAAGAAACCAAAAAAAACTAAAACACCATTTTTACAGATTCAGTCTATTAGGAAAGGTCATCACGTTCACTTTTAAAACCTATTCGAAACGGTAATGAAACTTATAAAATCTAGTTTTTTGCAAGAAAATGGTTGAAAAAAATGCAACCACCATTGAAATTTAATAAATTTCGCAAAGTTGGACTGAAAAAACGAAGAGATTGTCACTGTAAAAAAAATGCGTGGCAGTTTAAATAAACAAATATGCTTAAGTTGACAATGCCTTTCAAAAACATCAGTTGAGAAAAATCAACAAAAAATGCGAGCAGAAGTGAATGGATATTTCAGTTAACAGTGAAATGACATCTTCCATGGTGCCTCATTTTCTGAGATTCTGACTCAAAATGCCCTAAATTATCAATGAAAGAATGAGTTTGAAGCTTTACAATGAGATTCTCAATAGCAGTTAACAGCTGTTAAAAACCTCTTGTCACCCATACCCCCCCCCCCCCCTATCTAACTAAAAAAGCAAAAAAAACGGGAGCGGAAAGAGTTATCGGCATGTGATATGTCGTGTTGAACTATAAGATGAATTATTTGATGACTGATGACAGTAAAATATCAATTAAAGTCGAATCATCAGAAAACCCGATTTGGAAAAAAGTTTGATCCTTTATTGATCGGGTAAAATACAAAGTTTTAAAAATAAAAGATAGTTTTTTGTGCCTGAAATTTTGTATTCTGTCGTGAAGTCATTTAAAAAACTCAACTTTTTCATTAAAATTATCATCATCATACAGATAGTACTTTGCCAATATCGGACCTATTTTTACCTTGTTCAGCTTGGGCGGCAAAGCCGAGAAGCGAAGTCAGCAGGATCAAAGTAAGCAAGAGAGAAACCCGTGAACCAATACAGGGCAAAAATGAACACAAAAGAGTTGAGGTCATGATTATTTGAGCAGAAAATTAAGACTTTTTTTGTGAATTCGAAAATCTATGAGATAACTTATGAAGAGATTATGCTGAAAACTCGCTTTTTGTATCAAGGCTAGAAATTTTTTCAAGTTTAATGTTTATGTGGCTTGGAAACAGCTTGGGAGGATTTAAAATTACAAAGTTCTGGTCAAAAAACGAAAGTAATTCGCCCAACTTTTGAACTTATTTCAGTGTCCTCTAGAATTCGATGTTGGAAATTTGAAAATAAAGAAATAATAAATGGGTGGAGTTGTAAAGTGTAAAGTTATAACTCATTGGTAATAACTCGAACAAAAGTGTTTTATTACACAAAAGACAACACAATAGACTCGTTTGTTAAGTTTTTCAATTCTGCCGAGTTTCGAGTGGAATTCGAGATGTGAAGAATTCAATTTGGTAAGTCGAGTGAAAATGGTTGATTCATTTACGCTCAGTTGTCAACAAACTTGGGGTCTAGATTATTTTGCCAATATGACAAAAAGTAATGCAGCAAGTACAAAAACAACAGGTTGAAAATTTAAATTATACAACAAAGGTATAGAAAAATAAGTTTGATCGCAAATATTTTTCAATTAAAGAGTAGCAGGTAAATCACGCACACGGGATGTATCGGCTGCTGAATTAATAATTAGTGAGAAATGATCTATAAATTTGGTACAAACAATATGATACGAAAATTCTTGAATTGACATGTAATAATGAAAACGAGACGAAAATTACTCAAGCAAGTTCCGGTGATTAGTCGCAGACAGGTAAGAAAGGCTTGACATATCTTTTGGACCAGGTATTTTAACAGTTTAACTGGTTTGTTGTGGCTTTTTGATCCAGATAACAATAAACAAATGATTACGCAACTGTAAAGAGAAAGTTGTTTTCAAAAGATAACCTAGTTTCGCTAGAATTCAAAATTAAAACTTAGTAGCTCGATTATCATAAGAAATATGTCGAGGACTTTTTGTTTACTTGCAAATTCTACAGCTATGGTGCAAAGTTTTCATAACAATCAATGTGAATTTTTGTTCGCAAGTGCTCAAACCAACTTTTTTTTGAAGTTGGAAACTTTAAATGATTTTGTTCTGGAACGAAAAAGATGATTTAGCAGTTTTAAAAATAGTTTAAATTTTATCACAAAAAACTGCTTTCATTACGATTCCCACTGAGTTTTTAAAGCTAATGATCACAAGCAGCTTCGTCTATTCTTATTGGCTGATTTGCCTCTGTTTAGAAAAAAAAATGTAAAAATGTATCAGTATCCGTATTGTTGTCAATGCTGAAAAGTAATTCCCTATTTTCGATCAATTTTGTAAGTCACAAATACATGTAAGTCAACCGAAGGTATTTAAATTTTTTTCTAATACTTTTAGACCGACTCTTGAAAAGGGGTAGAGTTGCTTTTCAAATTGAGCCTTTGAAAGATTTCACTTTTCTAACAAGTAAATATCATTAATTGCCTCTACCAACAATAAAAGCACTGCCTTTGGCTTAGTAATTACTAATTAGTTAGGGTTTTTAGGGAAGGGTACGCCAGCGTCCTTTTGTAAAATTATTGATGCGTGGCTAAATTCAAAGTCAAATACATCAATTAAATTTAAAGTATAAAGGGATTTGCAAATACAAGTGACGGGGACAAAGATTGCACAAAATTGTCATTTTCAAAAGAGGAACAAATACTTGATACAAAGCAATTAAGGCCTTTTTCAAAAGAATTTTATATTTTTCGATCTAATCTCTAAACAACACCTTTGTCCTATTCATTCGGGGTTTGAAAAGGAAAAATGTGAAAGAAGATTCAATTTGGAAAGATTCGCCAAATTTGCATAGAAACTAGACTGAATAATTTATCATTAATAATAGAAGTGAAAACCTTCTTTAATGAAACTCTTTGAGGAAACTTAACTTTGTCTAACTGAAAGGCGCACCCAAATTGACCAAACATCCCAGAAGTTTGAAGTTTGACGTTTGATTTTAAGAAACAAAAGTTGCGCAATCATCTCTCTCAGACACATACTAAATACCAGCTAACTGATTATGACTACCCGGTTGTTCAAGTTTTAGCACCCCCAAAGTTGACTACCTGGATTACTAGATTTGGTTGAAAATTAGGTCAATATCACCCCAAAACAATTTCGTGAAAACCCTAGTTATACAGACACTTCAGATACGTATTATTAGTCACGCTCTCACTTCAAAAATACAACATCGAAACTAACAAATTGACGCTTGAAAGTTTTATTGGGTAAAACTTGGACAGTTTAATTAAAACTACTTAATTTTCAGAAATTTAATAAAACTGAAGCAGCTCATCATTGAAGCTTTGAGAAGGAAAATGTTTGCAGTTCTTCAATGGTATACATCATAATGAACGTCACGTACCCTTTTTTAGTTATGTACAGAATTCCCTTAATGGGACATCCTTAGACAACTGATGAACTAAGTTAAAAGGATATAATATGAAAACTAACTACCCGGGTTGACCTCCATACACCGAAAATGCTTATCATATAATTCCATACAACAAAAATCATTGTCATTCAATTCCATACATCAAGTGTATGGAGAAAATGCTTGTCATACAATTTTCATGCATTTTCGAAAAACAATAGAAAATAAAAACTAAACATTTTCTGCGGCTTTTTGAGAACAGTTGAACAGGCTGGTAACGGAAAAAAACTGACTTAATTTTTTGTTAAAATTGCGTAACATACAATTTCCATATATGAAAATTGTATGACAAGCATTTTCGCCATAAGGGACAATTTTTTCGAAATTTTTCGGAAACCGGTTTTTGAAAAATTCAAATGAATTGGTAACATTTTTTTCAAAATGCGAAAACAAATCCGTTCAAATTCAAGTAAAGGAGACGCAATCAAAAACGAAAAAATAGAAATTTTGTTTAATGTTTTTTCTTGTTTAAGCTTTGATGCAAACAACCTTTTCTATAATTTGTCCCCCATTAAGCGTTTCTAGGGATTGCAGATAGGTAATAAAGCCCTATAATTATGTAATTTAATCGTTTTCCATACAAAAAAAAATTGGAAGAATATTTTTGATTTCGAGCTCAAAAAATTTACCCCTTACAATTCCATGCTCAAACGTAATATCTGTAATTTTTGCGCAGTTTTGTAAAAAAACTATGGCTGATATATAGTGAGAGAAACCGAGAGAGGGTATTATTTTAAATTTTTCATTGTTTTTTCAATTTCTACCAATTTTCAAATCTATCAAAATTTTTTTTCATTTTTTTTAAAACTCACATTGATTTTCAATATTAATGCCGTCTAACCCATCGATTTCCTATTTGAACAATAATTGTTTGTTGCGTGGCGTTATAAAAACAAGAAACAAAACGAAACTAAAAAACTATTTTTCTTCAGTTAAAATAGCTAGTTAAGAAGGTTCTGCTGAATTGCACTATTTTACTCGTAATTCTTGTTACAGAAACTAATTTGATGCATCAAAGCTATCAAAATTTTAAAAAACCATTGTTTTTCATTAACAGTCATTTCGACATTCCGCTTTGGGTCTGCACTTTTTGTGTTTGCCTAACCCAAAAAAAATAAGAGTTTTTTTTACAAAAATCTTTAAGGGATAAAAATATCCAGTTGAAAATGTCGCAATTGATGGATCCGTATTCAGTACTGTTAATGAAATGCGTTAACAGCAATTTTTCTAGTTGAAAAGATTCATAAGGTCAGTTTTCGGGGCTTGATTTGGCCCGGAAACACTCTTTAAAAAAATGTTCTGCCCTTTATATCAAAAATTACAAAGTAATCATTTCTGCAATTTTTTGCTATCGTTAGAACATTAAAAGGACTAAATTATGATGTATACTACCTTACTAAACTCAGCGTGGTTGTGAAATTACAATTTTTTTTAAAAAAAATCACAGTTTTTTCAAAACCCTTACTTACCGCAAGTTTTAGCACATAGAGTTGTGATTTTCAATTCTCATATCTGTTTTCAATTTTCTTATCTGTTTTCTTTCCATCAATAAAAAAAACAACAAACTTGATTTGGATAGACAATACGCTCCTAAATGCGATATGAATGTGACGATATGATTTTTTAAAGTAAAAAAATACCTTTTTTCTGGCTTCGGGCTCGCTCCAAAAGTTGGCTTAAATTTTCGATTTACCTCTATGTTTTTTGGTATCCGTTTAAAGCTATCGGAAAATCAACAACAAAGCTTGTTTCTTATATACAAACATTTCTAAATTCTACTTGAATGTGACAATATTTTTTTTCTAAGTAAAAGAAACACCTTTTTTCGGGTTTCCGGCTTGCTCAAAGTTTGGCTCAAATTTTAAATTTTACCGTACATTTTTTGTAATCTGTTGATAGCTGTCGGAGTAACATTAACAGAGCATAATTTTATTTTACAAAACGTTTCTAAAATCTGAGTGAAAGTGACGATACAGTTTTTTTATTGGAAAAAAAAACTTTTTTCGGGCTTCAGGCTCTCTCCTAAAATTGAGTTCAATTGTTTTTTTAGGTTTTTTTTTGTGCTCTTACCCTGTTCCTAAATTTTAAGACACTTCATTGGCTCCTCTCTTGCTGCTAATAGCTTCATATCTCATTTTGAAGCATTCAGAGTCCTCAATACGGCGGTTTCGATATAATTTTCTAGTGTCGATAAAACCCGATTTTTCAGGTTTATTTTTATTGTTTATTGCAAGTGATTAAATTTTTTCATAATTTCACAATTAAATGGTCTACGCTATTGCCGAATTGTAGTATTTTACTCGCAATTCTAATTACAGAATAAGTTTGATGCATGAAAACTATCAAAATTTAAAAAATCAACAATTTTAATGAACAGTCAATTCGACGTTCCGCTTTGGGTTTTTCATTTTTATGTTTGCCTAACCCAAAAAACATCGGCATAAAAATATTTAGATGATAAATATCTTAATTGATTGATACATTTTTAGTACTGTTATAGCAATTTTTCCAGTTGAAAAAATTCATAAGGTCAGTTTGGGGGGCTTGATTTGGCCTGAAACATCGCTTCAAAAAATGTTCTGCCCAATATAACAAAAAGTATACAATCTTTTTTCTGAATTTTTTTGCAATTATTAGAGGGGCTAAATTTTGATGTATATCAAGTTCCTAAGCTCAGCGTGGTTGTGAAGATAATTTTGTTTATTTAAAAAATCCCAGTTTTTTCAAAATCCTTGCTAGTTGGAGATTTTGTGTCATAGAGTTGTGAAAACTCATAAGTGTTTCAATCGGTTTTTTATCAAAATAGAGGAAAAACCGAGATGTTTTTGATATATATAATAAGCTCCTAAATTTGAAGAGAATGTGATGATTTAATGTTTTTTAAGTGAAAAAAAAAATTTTTTTTTCGGGCTCCGTGCTCGCCCTAAAGATTGGCTTAAGAATTAATTTTACCCTATTTTTTTTCGCAATCTGTTGGTAACTATCAGAGGAGAATCAACAGAGCTCATTTTTGGCAATTAAAATGTTTCTCAGTTCGAAGTGAATGTGACGATATAATTTTTTTAAGTAGAAAAAATCCTTTTTTCGGGCTTCAGGCTTGATCTTAAGATTGGCTTAAATTTTTGTTTTACATATTTTCTTTGCTATTCATTTTTGCTTTCGGAAGAACAAAAATAGAGCTTATTTTTGATTAGAAAAACATTCTTTAGTTTAAAGTAAGTGTGAAGATAAAAATTTTTAAAGAAAAAATCCTCTTTTAGGCCTTTTGGCTCGCTCTGAAGATTGGCTTAAATTTTTGATTTAACTTAAGTTTTTTTGCAATCTGTTTTTGGTTATAGTAAGAGCATTAGTTACACGTGCGGTAGCGGAACTTATTACAAAGATATTTTTTGTCCAACCTAAGTCGTAAATAAAAGTTCTACTTTGGTGGCCTTATTAATTTTAATTTTTTTGTGCATTTTCAAGGACATTTGCTGTTTTATCGCTTGTGTTTTTATCCTGGATATTTGCTGTTTTATCGCTCGTGTTTGCGAAGCTGCAGCTTCGCCTCTTTGTTATAACATTTATAGTGTTCTTTTATAGAGGAAATGCACGATGTGGTTACCGAACTTCTGGAGGTTTGCCGGAGATAGTTCACGCGGATAAAGTTTTAAAAAAAAACCAGTGTTTTTTTTTATAATTTTTTTGAGTTAACCTCCACTCCATTATTGACCCTGTAGGATCAGATTATGAGCCTGCTGCTATCTAAAGAGTTGAAAAGATTTCCTGCAGAAAATT